ATGGATGGATGGATGGATGGATGGATGGATGGATGGATGGATGGGAAATTCCAAATCTATGGATCCATATGTTTCCACTAAAATGTCTCTAAACTGAGAAGGAACGTTTGTAACTATTCTCAAACTTTATTAAATCTACTCGAACTTCGATACCAACAATAAGTTTTTGTTCCAGTTTCTCTCATTTCTGCACATTCAGCTCCGCAGCAGTGAACCCGAGCATTGGAACAGACCTCCACTTATTTCAGGATTATCCATGCTTTGCATTCCTAGCGCCGCAGCTGAGCCCCGGCTCTCGGTGCTCCTGCTCCGGTCCTTACCTTGCTCCAGCAGCCGCAGGGAGTGCTGGAAGGACGGGTCCAGCGTGTCCTTCTCCGCCTGAAGCTCCGGTAGGTACTTCTCGCTCTCCATCTCGTCCAAAGCTTCTCAGGTTCCAAACAAGCGAGTGAAATACGCAGCAGATTTAAACAGGAAAAAGTTGCTCACGGTCCAAACAGGAATGAAGGTAAAAATAAAGGCTCCAAAGTTGATTTTCTTAGAGGCGAACCCGTGTGCGCTCGCGCTAGAAGAGCATGGTGAAGCTTCGCGGAGCACGCGCTCTCTCTCCTCTCCTAAAGCGGTTGATGTTGAAGCAGCGGTGGTTGGTTTCACTCCATCAGTGATGCTCAGCCCGGCTGCTCCGCTCCTCTGTCGGTCGTCAGGCTCTCTGAAGCTCCTCTGTTCGGTCCGCAGCTGAAGTGAGGCAGAGGCGGGAGCGCGCAGCCTGTGGGAAGGGGGCGGGGCCTCACCGGGAGCTGTCCGCGGTGCTGATCGAAATCATTAGCATCTCATTATCAGTCACTCACCGAGTTTCTAACTGGTCAAAGAAGCTTACACCTTCACTATTATAAAATCTCTTTTGCTTCCCTTCAGCAGATATATAAATATATATATACTACCTTAGTAAGAATGTTTAAATCCTTTAAATATTTTTTTAATCACAAACACAAACTTCTACTTGTTTTGCAACCAGCACTCAGTTTTCATTTTTGTCTCATTAAAAAAAAAAAAAAAACAGTTTTGAAGTTCTTATATCTTCGATTTATTTTCCTCAGTTTTCTGCTTTTCAAATCAAGTTTTACGAATTGCAATATTCTAATAGGTTTTCCACATAACATTATTGTAAAGTCTGGGGGCGGATTTTCCTCTATATCAAGGGCAAACAATAAAAAATCAGCAGGGTCCAAATAGAGAAAATCAACAACCATTAAAGGTCTGGAGACATTTTTAATTATAATCTGTTACCTAAAACAGAATTTAACAAATAATAAAATGAGGTGTTATGCATCCATGTTGTTATACATTGACTTTTTAAATAAAAAGGTATTAAAAATATATATAAAATTTTCCATTTTAAAATCTAAAGTGTTTTTGAAGTAGAAAACAACAGTCTTTCAGTTTGGTATATAGACAATTTCCTGATTCAGATATTTTATAAAACATCTGAACTGACCGTTTGTTTTTTCTTTTCTTTTTTTATGGCTTAATGAGAGCAGTGGGCTTTAGGCTGCCTTGCAAGTTTTTTCGATATTTATTTCTGATTCTGTTCATGGTGGAGAATCCTGCTTCACAGCAGCAGGTTGAGCCAAAAATCCTCTAAATGTTCAGGGTCATCTTTAAGCACCATTTCACTTTTCTTTCACCAGTTCACCGCAGTTCTTCCAGCAGTCCACACTTTCTCTGCTCTCTTTTTCTCATCATCTTCTCCTTCTTTCCCATCGCCCGGCTTGCTACAGGTTTGTCTGCTGTGTCTAAAAGTAGCAGCAGCAGCAACCCAGACTGACAGCAGCTCATCGGCTGATTTCTATCACATGCAGCCTGGTGCCCGACGCTCCAGAGGGCTTCACCATATTAACAGGAGAAGCGGCGCAAGGGAAATTAGACACTACCGTGGGACAACATGCAGTAATTTATTAATGTTTAAAATCAGTTTGGGTCCCGATTAGCCGGATTCGGTCTGCTGTCCGCTAATCCATGACCTCTGGTATAGAGTGAGGAGTGAAGACAAATTGCTATTGGTCAAACGTGAGTATACTGTATGTACTGGGATTAAAGGGAAGAAAATAAAATAAATAAATGCAATTTCAAACAAATGTAATTTGTAAAACTCAATATCAAAAGCATCAAATCTGAAAGAAAAAGAAAAAAAAAGGATCAAATAAAACTTGAGATTTAGATTACATGGAAAAACACAATCCGAGTAAACAGCAAAGGTATTAGTAAATCCTTTTTTTTTATTAGAACACTGTCAAAGTTCAATTTCTGGATTTATTTCGTATTTACTTCCATTTAAAATATGTGTTTTTTGCTTTTATGGTTTCAGCTGTAGAAGACTTTTTTTTTTACTTAATCTGATCTAATGCACCGCAAGATCAAAACAATCTAAGTATTCATTGCCCTCCACACTAAATAGATGCCTGGAAAACTTGCAAAACTCTGATCCTAAATGTAATCATTTGTTGCAAAGGACAGAGGTAAATATACAGTAGTGTGGTGGACAGAGAAAAGGTGTTTTGTTTTTTTTTAAGAAAATGAAGTTTGAATAAATTCCCAGGAGACCATATGAGGCAGATAACAAATGGAGACTCACTGCTGCTGCTGCTGCTGCAGCTGCTGCTGTGCACCATTTTAACTTAAACTAATAAAACCAGTTGAAGTACATTTTGAAACACAGCCCCACTGGGTAACATTAAGTAATAATGCAGAATAATATTATATTGTATGTAGTTCTTTACGGGGAAAATCAAATAAAGAACAATGTTTATTTCATTGGGAGAGCATCCAGGAGTGGAGTCTGGGAGACTGAGGAGTTGATTTAATCAGTGTTAGAGGTTAAGAGCTGTATGGTACTTTTCATGCTTTTTTTAAATTTATTTACTGTAAATAAATCATTTATCAGCTTTAGAATGCACTAATCTGACAGGATAGTTGGGATATATTAAATAAAACCAACTGCTGTTTGCAGGCAAAAAGTCAGGTAGTAAAACAACCAACAAATCTGCAGTCATCCTTTAAAAGCAGAAAGCTTTTAAATCATGATAATATTTAGCAAACAATTTAACCAGCTCTACTTTTGACCCATTTCCATCATTAATAGACTTGAATACAGGAGAAATCGCCCGGGACATCTAGAGGAATGCTGCCAGTGCGGAAAAAGACACATAAGTCAGTGATGAGTAACAGACACGTGTTGACTCACCAGGCATTTATTGATTTAGGACAAACATGGATTACATTCTGCATTTTTTTGCATATTATTACAACAGAAATAAACATAAGGAGTAGGCATGACTATGACCTCTGGTAAGTACTAACAGACCCCCAACAATGGACAAGTATTTATTTAAGGAGCCTTTTTGTCCAATTCAGTTCAATTCAGTTTATTTTAATTCACAACATGTCATCTCAAGGCACTTAACAATTCAACCAGATCATCCAGT